GCGGCGAGTGAGTATTTCTGACCCCTATAACCCCTATCCCGGTTTCTCAAACACAATCACAGGTCCTCATTACACGCCTCCGGTCACTCATACGTCCGATTGCGACGAAACTACCACCACTACTGGTTGGTATACCGCTCCGATGCCCACAATTCCTACCCCGGACACTACCACTACCTCCACTTCCCGTACTACGAATCCATACACCTCCCCGACGCCTACAACCCCTATTATCACGACTACCGATGATCATTCTACGACCACATCCGACTGTGATGATGAGACGACAGCGGTGACTACCACCACGAGTCCCTATATCATTCCGACGTCGACCATCCCTACCATAATCACCACCGCTACCACTGAGGATCACTACACCTCCCTGACGCCTACCACTCCTATTCCTTTCACCAGTACCACTCCTACCATCCCGAGCGTCCCTACCACGGTTCCTTATACCTCTGATTGTGACGACTCGACGACGGTCACTACGGCCACTAGCGAGCACACCTTCCTCACACCGATCACTCCACCAATCACTATCACTACTTCCACCTCTGAATACACTTCTTCGACACCGACCATCCCTATCACTGTCAGCACGACTACGAGCCCCTACACCTCCCCAACCCCTCATACATCGGATTGCGACGAAATGACCTCCACGGGTCACTACACTTCGCCTACTCTAACGACCGTGCATATTCCTACTACCGTGACCACAAGTCCTTGTTCCGATGACCTTGCTCTCCCGATCCAAGGTATCAATGTTGATTTGGGTGCTGATGTCGAGCTCAATGTGCTCTGAGATCATCGAAGAACTCGAGTTGTTACCAACATCGCACGTCGTCCTGGTTCTGGTTTCTATTTCGGACAATTTCTTCTTTTCGCTATCTCTCACATCCCATTTGTACATCTGTCGACCGTATACTGTGACCGAACACCTTGCTATGCGTTGTTCGAATCAAAATGAGTGTACGTACATACGATTGGAAAATTATAGAATCAATTGTTCCAAAAGTTGGACTCATCTAAGATGTTCCCTCTAGCCGACTTGAACGACTGACCTCTTCATAGCGGACACGAATTTTGCGGATACTAGTGAAGCGCTCTAACACTGAGCTAAGAGGGACTCTACCATGAACCATAGCAACGGATCCATTACGCCTTCAGCTCGTGGAGCACCATCGAAATTACCGGGGCCTGGGAGACGGAGGGAGGTCACAAACCGTCGTGGAAATTTTCGGAACGCGTGTACATGTCGCCCTTCTACAACCATACCACCATCGCCAAATTGAACCCTCTCAAGTCTATCTTGATGCGTCTGTAAGACCCGAACGAGATATCAGGATTATTAGAGGATGTATATCTTTATTCTCCAGTCACCATGCCAATCGCCGCTGAAACACTGACTATTTTCGACGCCGGCAAGCTAATCTCTTGGTAGATGATACAAGCAACTCGACGCAATACCTCACGATATCCTGGCCTTATCCGTTGCCCCAAAAGTCCTTCTTCCCTCCTGGTTCAGATATCTCCAATCAATTCTGCCTCTCGGATTGCCGACTAGACTTCGATATGAAAGATAAAGGTAAACAATACCTGATTCTTTAGCGTCATATCACTGACCTTGCCCTCACAATCCCTTGGCCAAGGCCCTGGAAGAACACATGCGATCGAGAAGCATTCACTCTACAACGCAAACCACACCTTGCTTTCGAATAAACAATGAGGAACAACCCATTCGTAGATCATTCACCCAGCTATACCTCATATCCGGGACCCGGCTGTGATGGCGATGAGTCCGGTCGTTGCAAACGCTTCTAGTAGGCTACCTATAATTTTTGTATGGTTGCTGATCATTCGATATCTATGTTTCAACCCGGATAAACAGACGTACGGGCTCGAGGTGTGTTACTGTTCGCGTCTCGACTCTCTGATACTTTCTCCTAGTCGAGCTACTTCGTGTCCAACCAAATCTCTTTGATGCAGATCATAAGTTCGATCACTACTACTACCATTTTTACCCCCACAGGTGTACCTACCACAGTTCATTGAGCGCTCGGATACACCTCTCCGACACCAATGATCTCTGCTACTTTTCCCCGAACCTCTCCAACCCTTTCGTCCTCTCTCTTGGATACTAACTCACGTGAGCGTGCAGTCGGTATTTTCGCCACCTTGGGCTAAGTTGAAAATACGGTGCCGTTGCGTAGCTGATGTTCTTGTTTTCCCTTCGTTCGATACTCAGAACATCTACAGCTTCTACTCCAACCTTAGGTTTGATCCCGCTAGGTATCCAATTACGTGATTGATGTACTGCTGGCCAATGCTGTCGACCTCGGATTATACATCAATCAGAAGCGCTACTCCCGTGGTAGGAAAAACAGTATAGCACGGGTAGGAACAGTCATTTGTTCGAAGGATGCACAACTGGATATCCTTCATCAGGGAAACTGTACAATTCTATTTAAGTAACTGCCCAACCAATTTCATTTATACTACAGGGCTCGCTGGAGTTTTCATTTGCGTGCTCATCGCGAGGTTCAGAGCATTCCACACGAGGGACATAGTGCCCTTTCATTTGCATCCCGTAGTTGATTTGAATATGTTGACACTGATAAAGCTGGAAAGTTAGCAACGGGACCATGGGACACGACGAGATCTGGCTGGATGTGTGGTTCAGTGCGGAACCGATAATAGGCAGTTTGCGTGGCTCGACAAGTGTGCGAAAACATTGCGTAATACGAACTTGTTCGAGATTCGGCCTTTTTTGCGTTGCGTGAGACTACCTTCAAGCTCACGCGTATTGTCCTTCTGAAGGACTCTCCCCTGGTTCAAATTCCCTCAGAAAGATGTGGTTGAGTCTCTGGGAGATGAAGGATATCACAAGAAGCCAATCTCTCGACCAGGAGGAGCTATAGATCAGCGAGATGCTGCTGCAAGAAATTACCTGTGACGTCACTGGCCATATTGTTCGTGTTCGAGTACACCTCTATCATGAAATTACCGGCGGGGAATGGTCATTTTCAGTGCTACAAAGTGCTTATGCGTCTCTCTGAATCAATTCATGCTGTGCGAGAACAATTTATGGTGCGGGAGGTACGCAGAACTGGTCAGTGTTGGTGGCCTTACGCAACATAAAAATGGCCAAATCTCGAACAGGTTCGTATTACGCAATGTTTTCGCACACCTGTCGAGCCGCGCAAACTGCCTAATCTGACTCTCATGAAGCTAATGATGATTGATTGATTGTTATCATGGGGATGTTAGCCAAGGTTCAGTAACAGCACTCATGCACAAGTGGTCAATCTTCTTCTCGATCTTCTTCCCATCATGAGAAGGCTTTGCTCATCAATTGGACTTGCTGTTTTCCACCAAATAGTCACTCGGCCCGTAAGGTGGAGTGATGGAATACTTTTTGGTCCTCCTACTATTGCGGGTATCCGATCATTATTTTCGTTTCATAGCGATGAATGACAATGAGCATACTGCGTTGGCAACGCCATGTTACAAAACAAGTTGATATAAGAAATAAAACTGAGGTTGAGAGTGTGATGCTGTGGAGTTTCACCGTCTTTTTCCCTACCCCTTTCTACCCTCCAGACTCATGCGCCCTTCTGTAGAGTTGATTCAGGTCCCACAGCTCGAGACATCGAGTCTCATCCAGGTTTCTGGTAATCAACATGATTCAGTAATCCTTTCCGCTTTTTTCTCTACCCCTAGCTTATTTATTGGTCTCCAATTCCTTTTTAGGTCTCACGTCCTGTAGAACTCAGTATCCTAACCAGAACTGATACATTCTATACCGTTTCCTCTGGTTCAACGGTCCCTGGACTTGGTAGTCTCTCGGGGAGAGCGATCAAGCAATTGGGAGAGGCGGTTCTTAATGGGGTGGATTATATCCTCGTTAATCGCGAGTTGGGAAGGATAGATTCCTATCTACAGCTTGACCCACCTAGAGACGTGAAAATGGTTGAAGAGATGTACCAAACCCTTTTTCAACTGACACAGTGAGTGGTTATCATAGCCTGCCGATATACCAAATCCGATTTAGCCGCTTACAAGTTACAATATAGTCCGGGCTATATGGGACCTGTTCGTGCAAGAGCCTTCAAGATAATCATGAGACAGGTTGGGTCCATGAAGCTGAAAGCTCTCGCAGCGGCACTTGTTCGCGTAAGCTCCTGGTCGGAAACATACCACCTTCTCTCCATGATCGTGGAGTGTTGCCGTAGAGATTGGAGCTCCGATAAGTATGTGCCTTATCATCTTCCATTCCAGAGTCCTTTGATGACTCGTTGTTTGTACTCAGTGACTTTTATATGGCGGGTTACGATGCGTACGCAGCACAACCGAAAGGCGCTCTGTTACAAACAGACCCTTTACTGCTGTATCTCGCGCTCATAGCTCTGCTTGGTTCACAAAGGCATTGTGAGATGATCCTTGACCTCATCAGCTCAGTAACTTTTCCTACCTCAGACGACATGCCAACGGAAATGTCGGCACTCACAGAACGGCTATTGAAACGCCTAATAAAGGCAAGGTTGCGGTTGAAAGAGGAAGACTCGTCAATTACTGATGCACTCGCTGTCCTCACTTCGGCCATTCCGGAGGAAAACCCTTCATTTGTGTATCCCTCTGGCCACGTTCATAGAGTTTTGGCGGGAATAACTGGAATCATGCCAACAGCCATTCTCACAAGCCCGATCTGGCGGCAGAACTCTCCACCAGCTTTGGTGTCATTTGTTGAAGTGTTCGATGACCTAATTTCTTCACATATTCCGGATTAGGGCTGGCAACTCTTGTCCCGTGTTTTGATAGAGAGCATAGATATGCCCTTATGCACTTTAGGCTGCAGACTTTTGCCGGACATTGGACTTCGAGTTGTAAAGATACAAACGAAATGGATATATTTGATTAGGAGTTTCGAGCTCAAAGGTGGAGTGTAACCCTGTCAAGCGCCAAAAAATTAGGAGAGCTGAAATCCAAGGGGTGAGTTCCCTCTGGCCAACTTGAACGACTGGCCTCTTCATAGTGGACACACCTTCTGCGGATAAAGCGCTCTACCACTGAGCTAAGAGGGAGAGCCAAAGCAGCGGAGCCATCACGCTTTCAACTCGCGAAGCACAATCGGAATTAGCCGGAGCCTAGGGAACGGAGACAGAACCGTCGTGGAAATTTTCTAAGCGCGTGTCGTCGTTGTATCGTTACCACCACCACCGCCGAGTTGAACCCTCACGAGCTCATGATACAAGTGTCCATAGTACCCAAACCAGATATGACTAGGATTATTCGAGGACTGCCTCTCAGGTTCCCGAGGACTTGAATACAAAAAATAAAGGTAAACATATTCTCTAGCGTCCCACCCGAGCTGACCTTGCCCAAACAATTCAGAAGCAGTCACTCCGAACACTACACCTCATCTTCTGATGAACAATTAAAAAAATAACCTGCTCATAGGTCCTTCACCCTGGTATAACTGGCCTCCCGGCTGTGATGACAATGAGTCTGATCGTTATAAATTGTTATGGGCTATCTGGAGTGTTTCTCGTATGTTTGCTTATCATCCGATATCTAGATTCTGTTTTTGACCCAGATCAATCGACATATAGGCTCGAGGTGTGTTTCTGTTCGTGTCTCAACTCTCTGGAACTTCCTTCTGGCCGATTTGAATTACTGTCCTCTTTATAAGTACCTGTCATAGTACTAGTCAAGCCCTTAGGGGCAATCACGAGCCCTTGACGCGCAATAAATATGCGCGATCGGGATAGGAAGGGGAGACCCGAGCCACTTTGTGCCCACTGCGCCGATGATCCCTACTTCAATCATCACTACCATTGCTACGCCACAAGTAAACCTGCATTGGCACCAGTGATTTCCGCTACCGTCTCCCGAACCTATCCAACCCTCTTCCTTCTTGACTCCGATTGCTGATCTTGGTATCGGTAAGATAGCTTACCCCTTGGCTACTGCCTGACGTGACACATGTAAAACCAATCGGTATTCTCACAACCTTGGTCCCAGTCCAAGATATGATGCCGCCATAATACCTTTTCTTTTTCTGTCTTAGTTCAACACTCATGAACGCTGACAGCTTTGAGCCCGACCTCAGGTTTAATCTCGCTTGGAATCTACTCACATGGTTGATGCATTGGTGGTCAGCACTGTCCACTTTACATTAATCAGAAGCGCCACTCCCGTGCTAAGAATAACAAAATGGCCCGGGTCAGAACAGTTATTTCATTCTGGAAAAGATACCTGTTTGAGGGAAGTAGAGCTGGATATCCTCAATCTGAATCCGCGTTTCACTGACGGGCAAATTGCAGCTGGCATAAAATGAGTGTTTCTATGTGGTACAGTGTCAGCTTGAGTTATCTCATGAATATGCGACGGCTATTTTAGTGTCGTAGCAATTGATTATGATGAGCATCTTGAGAGTGATGTAGAAAGAAGGAAGGCGACATTGCAATATTCATAAAACCTTCTTTGACTTATCATGTCCAGAATCTTGGTTCAGTTGCCTAAGATAACCTAGCTTGATTTGGTGGCAATACCAATGATTTTGCCGTGGCGTCTCCAGTTTTCAGGCCTGCACAAAGGAACTGGCGATGGGCCCATTGGACATACAAAAGAGGTAGCCAAGTGATAATACTTGACCTCACTAGCCTTCCATACGTGTTCTGTGTACTGACAACTTCGAATACCCCCCTGAAGGCGGGCGCTTCTACTGCGGACTTGACCCGAACTATTAGCTATTAAATGAATCCTGACAGGGTTTAGTTGTCCAACAAGCGTCAAACCCTTGGCACCAGTTTGAAATAGTTGCTATGAACGTTGCGACAGCTGGAATTGTTTTCGGTACTTAAAACTCCAGTTTGCAAACTCGATGCTGTTGAGGTTCATTCTGTTCTCTCTGCCATACCTAGCACCCCTTCACCTTTCCACATCTCTTCCCAATGGTCCCACAGGTCTCATTCTTGGACGTACCCAGTATTGTGTCAAAAACTGACACGCTATCGTCGGGGTCGACAATTCCTGGGCTCGGTTCCATTTCAGGCAAAGCTATCAAACGACTGGGAGAGGCGGTCCTCAATGGCGTGGACTCGATTCGCATCAATCGCGAATTGACAAGAATAGAGTCACACTTGCGACAGAATCCAAAAAACCGACTTCTCGATATTCAGAGTGTAGAAGGGATGTACCACACCCTTTTTGAATTAACGCAGTAAGGGATTGCCTTGGATTGTTGCTGACTCACACTTACCCGTCGCTCAAACCCCAAAGTCCCGGATATACAAAGTCTGTTCGTACAAGAGCCTTAAAGATAGTCATGAAGCAGATCGGAGGCATGCATTTCAAGGACCTTGCACGGGCATTAGTATATTTGGACTCCTGGTCAACAACGTACCGCCATCTCCGTGGTGCCATAGAGTGTTGCTGGCGTAGCGGACGTCCCTGGGACTCTGATTTGTGGGCGCAATTCCTACTAGAACTATACTTTGTTGATGACCTATGATTCTGTTTTAGCGATCACCATACCGCGGGCTATAACTCCTATAGGCTTCATCGGAGGGGAGGCTTGTCATACAGGGATTCTATGGCCCTATATCTCGCCCTCATAGCTTTACTCGGCTCACAGAACCACTGCCGAATAATTCTCAACCTCCTTTCTCCTGCAGCCCACGAAACTGCCAATGCCAAAAGACCAGAGACAGACGAAGTTAACGGACTATTGAAACACGTTCTTAAGGCGAGATTGGAGCTAGCAGAAGATGACGCGCTGATACCCGATGCAAGGGCCGTAGTCACCTCTGCCGTGTTCGACAATGAACCATCATATGTCTATCCGTTCAGCCACGTCTCCAACGTTCTAACAAAGGTCACCGCAATCTTGTCTCTTGCCAATGCGAGCCCAACCATCTCGTGCCCGCAATTAGCCATACCGAACACATTGACAACCTCACATTACCACGCTCGACTCTGGGACTCCACAATCAACCTTTCGAGTCCTACTTTGGGTCCCACAACTGGTCGCATAACTCCAGTTGAGCCACCAGGAAAAGACACCATTCCGCCGGTGAACCCAAAGCTCGAGTCGGAGGGTGGAATCTACGACGGAGATTCTGTCGCTCCAAGTAAGCTGCCAGTAGGAGACCTCATACCACTGGTGGACTCAAATCTCAAGTTAAATGGCGGGATCATTGAGAGGGGAACTTTGACTGCACTCCTCGAGTTCTTGATTTCTGTTAGTGGGGTGTGGGTCTTGACAGCCCAAAGTCCTTAGATTACTCTGTATGAGCACAATAAGGTCTGATAACCAGGTGATGTATGAATACAGGGTGAAGTAGATGGGGAACAAGTTCCCCATCATCCTGCTCAATATGCAATGAGTGACAAATGTAGTAAATACTAGTAATTAATATTCCATGTAGGTGTTAGAGTCTTCCTTCATTTGTGCACTTGGTGTGGTAGGCCGACTTCGACCTGCTTAACCTCCTAGTCTAAGCCACGGTTAGTTCACCTTTGGAAACTGGAATATTTACCCCAGTTTCACGGTATTTTTGGGCTCCTAGCGGGGAAGTGGACAGCTTCTGGAACTTGAGCTTTCATTGATTGATAACGTGGAGATAACGTAACAAGTAACTCAACGTGTGAATGCCAGATAGAATCAGTACGTTGCCCACCCGAGAATGCGCAGCAGATGGATAAGTTGGTAACCTTGCCACTCGCCACTTTTTCGGGGTAGTCAGCGTGTCAGCCTGCGAGACCCTGCGAGACCGGCTAAACAGCTGTAATGGCTTCCGGCAAAATGTGCATCTTCCTGATGTACAAGTCCAACCACTTGCATGAGGGCATGCAGCTTCAGAACAAGGGAAGAAACCCTCCGATTCGGCGGGACTTGGAAAGGATATCCCGGTGATTCATCGGACGGTGATGGTGATTCCCAGGCTGTCTTCCTCCCAATCCTTAATCCTTGATGAGCTTGAGCACAATCAGCTAAAATCCAACGAGCCAACATGTCTCGGGGCTCAACTGCCCCTTTCCCTTGGTATCCTCTTCTGACCTGAAACCCCGCGTTGATATCTGAGGGGAGCAGAGAACAAACATAATTAAATAAATGTCGGTGAACCAAATACATACTTTTCCAATGGCTGATTACAGGTGAAAGCTGATCCTCACCTTAAGTCAAACTCATCATGCATTCTGGTTCACGAGCGCAATTTGATTTGACTCCGCTCATCTTATCTTCAAAGTCATTTTAGTAAAAATTCCTAACAAGCAAAAATCAGGTTAACAATACAGAAAGTGTAGAATAACTTGAATATACCTCTCTCAAAACCTCTGTCAGAGGTATGTAGCTATCCTTCAAACTGCATCTTGTAAGCCTAATAAATGCATGAGCAGGTTCATCGCAGGGATGATGCAGAATGCTGCTTTCAGTGAGCTCCATACAAAGAAATTTGATTAATTATGGATAAATAAAATCGAGAAAGCCTCAAGACGCGCTTCACCCAATTCCAACCCCAACCCCTCATTGTGCCAGGAGCGTGCGTCTATCTGTCTGTCCTTGGTCATGATTAGCTTGATGAGATTGCACAAAGCTGAGGCTACATACCTTGAGGCACTGTTTCACCTTGCCCAACAAAATCACCATGGATAATAATGAGGCATTTAGACAAGGTGGAGAGGGTGTTGTTGTCATGCTCACAGTGTAATTTTGTATTATGTGTAGATTTGGAATCATCTTGGCTTATACAAGTTGTTCTTCTCAACATCTTAGCTCTGTGGATTCAGGGGATGTCATCAATTGTCTTACTGTGTTGGAAAGGGTGAGTGTTCATGCTTTCTTTTCTTATCATGTATCTTGTTCACTTGGCTTTTGAATTCTTTCAATCAAGCACTCCTATTCACGCAACACAGAAGGCTGTCTCAGCCTGGTAGGGTTGATACTGGAGCATTTGTATGAAAACAAATATATTCAAATGAGAATGTATATCAAGAGGTATATTCATGATGTTGCTGTGTTCTCTTTTACCAGAGGTAGTTGCTGTACTAGGACTCTGTTAATCCTCAAATAAATGGA